GGGGGGGGGTTTTTGGGGGGGGGAGGGGGGGGGGGGGGAGGGTTTGAGGAAGGGGGGGGCGCGGAAAGGGGGGGAGCTGCGAAGGTGAGGGATTGGGGGGGGAAGAGGGGAGGAGCGACCCCCTGATCTCTGGAAGGGGTTAAAAGGGGCTGGGAGAGTGGCGGCGGTGAACGTTAAAGGTGTAGCCGGGTTTGGGGGGGGGAAGGTTGGCTGCGTTCGAGGCGTAGAGGAGATGGGGGGGCTTCGCGGTGTGCTGGAGGGGCATTTCTGGGCTTGGTGGGGAAGGGGGAGGAGGTAGGTCCTAGCTGGGTGGGGGAGAAACAGGAGGGACCGTGAAGTGTGTAAGAGCTGGGCTGTGAGTGCCCCGGGTTGTGAGGCGGCAGGGTAGGCCGTGGGGGATGGAGGTGTTGAGTTTGTTGGTGGGCTGCAGGCGTTAAGAAAAGGAGGGATCTAGAGGCAATGCAAGCGTGCAGCGAGGCGGGGAGGTCGGCTCTAAGAAGAGTGGCCCTGGGAGGGGGAGAAGCCGGTGGACTGTGGTGGACAACGGTTGAGAGTGCTGTGGGCATCCCAGGGATGGGAGAGCGAGGAGGCAGCTCCTGGTCTGTAGGCGTGGACCAAATACTGGCAGCTGAGTCTGCTGCAGAAGGTTGTCTGTAAGAAAAGATTTGGTTATAAATACCTCGCTTGAGTCTGTTTTGACTCATTTGAGTGTGTATTAATTTTTAGACAGCAAAACAGCTCTGTCCTATTTTTTGGATGGTGCCCAGCGTACCGAGGTCCTAGTTGACCCGTAGTGCTTGTACAGTGGAATGAATCATTTGATATTAGTATTAAAATTCTGCGGACGCTGAGAGATGTTGATTTGCAGGAATTCTAGGTTGCTGGTTTTGATCAGCTGCTGTGAAGCAGTGTTGATGTCATAAGAATAATGGCAAATACGTAGAAACAGGGAAGGATTTGTCTTCCATGAGGTGTTTTCTGACAAAACTTCCTTTCCAAATGGAAATTAATGTTGTTCAGGAATGCGACTTGACTTCAAATGCTGTCAGAGTGGAGAGACTAAAGAAGGTCATCGTAGGCGCTAACTGCAGACTCGTGTAAGCAAGATGAACGTAATTCAGTATTTACTGAAAGTGTGGTCACTGCCACTCTTCCTGGGTGTTTTTCTCAGCCTGTCAGATGTTATTCAAAGTCCCAGGCTTATTTTTAGACGTGCCTGAGTACTGAGAGCAGTTGCAAGGTTGAGAATTGTCAAACAAGTTTATTTAGAAAGATGCTCAGCACTGGTTTTAATGGTAGGTGTGAGTCCATGTCCCTTAAACTGATATGAAAATATTAGCCTGGCTACTTTGTGAGAAATGTGACCGTTTTCTCTCTGTAGAGAACAGCTAAAAAGAGAATGTGGAAGTCCACAGCACATCAGAGGTTTAGATACATCCTTTATTAATTTTTCCACTTTTTTTTTCTGTAGAGTTGCCTTTAGAGGACAAAACAGAAGGTATGTCAGTAAACTGATAATATTTTTTTTTTTCTCCTTTGTCCCTGAACTTTCTTCAGGAAGAGGAGACGGAATGGCAATGAAGATGATGGTCATGTTCCCCAGACAAAACGTAGTACCAGGAATACTGTCCTGCAGGACTCCTGGGACACTGAGGTGAGAGCCTTCCTGGGAAAATTCAGTTTCCTTTAATGCTGAATTTAGATAACAGTTGGAATATTCTGTGAAATTTTATTCATGGAGAGTAGTTAATGAAAACACTTTTTTTTTCTTTGTGTATGAGGTCACGAGGCTTGACTCTGTTACGTGCTTCAGAGATTGAAATCTGTAAAATGTGGTTTGGAAATCAGCATGTTTTCTACTAAACCTGGTTATCTTTGGCCTGAATATTTCTGTTAATATCTTTCAAATACTGATGTGTAGCACCCAAGTGAAGATGCAAGAAAAGCATCTGCTGCCACTTTTAGTTTTGCTGTCTGAAACAAAGTGTAACATATCCAGAACCGAGGAAATGACTAGGGTGGATTACAAGTGTGTGTGGTCACTTTGCCTGGCCATCTACTCTTTCAACTTTGCATTTACTTAATAGTAATGTGATTATTTGTGGTAGAAAGTCAAAAAGCATTCCAACTAGTGCGATACACAAAGTGCCTCTTGCAAACAGTAGCACTTATCTGATGTTTAAAAAATGCTCTGATAGATCTTGGCAGTTTAAGCAAGACTCGCTTGTTCACAGCTAAAACACTTGAACTCAAACTATTGGGTTTCTACTCATATTTGCCATGATCTTTTGCTGGATGTGGGATAAACTGTCTCTTCTTCTCTCATCGCTTGCATGACAGGTGTTCTAGGATGGTGCAATTTGCTAGCTATGAGACTTCTTTTTTACAAAATGCTGATTTCCAAACTGCTGCCAGATTTCCTGAATTGTTGCCGGTATTAATCATCTGAAAATTCACTGTATGCATTTCTAATTAGCAATGTAGTTCTGTTGCAAAATATTCATGAAAAAGAGCACGCAGAGCAGAGGCTCCCTCCTGGTTTGTGTCCCTGGAAGTTAATGAAATGGATTTCTTTTAAGCTTTTTGAAATATCCTTGTTGTTTTTTTGTACAGCCCTTACTCCAAAGATTGGCTGTAGTGAGTAATTATGAACTATTGCAGTTATATTGAACTATTAACTATACTTTGACTGCAGAAAATATTTAATGCTATGTAACTTGGAGCAACATATCGTTTATCATATGGCAATGGCTTCAAATGTATATTTCCACTTAAAAAGATACAAAGCTCTGTATCTCACCGTTCCTTTTGTGAGGGAGGCTTTCTTTTAACCCGTACACCTTTACAAGTAGCTAATGTCAGTGATACTGTATGGAAAATGCTCTAACAGCTGAGATGTTCATCATGAAGGAATTTGCTGTGATGAAAAATGTTCCTGTATTGTTGTTTTGCCAGAAGTAAGACTTGCTGGGATGAAGTCGTATTTGTATAACGGGTAGAACCATAAATAGTTGCTTGCCATCTGACACTGAATCACTTGTCCAACAGGTTAAACACCTCTTCGTTTGTAGAGTAGTTAATGGCTAAACGAGCTTTGTGGCGGGAGGAGGAAGAATTTAGTGTGGAACAAGGGATTGAAGTAGGAGTAATGAAATAAAGAATATCAGGAAAAACCTTAATGGTGAGTGGCAGAAGCACCTTTGCTTGTCATATAAACACTTGGCGTTTGACTGGGCAAAGCTGCTCAAAATGCAGAAATGGGAATAGTCTTGTAGTAGCCACACAAGAATGGATGACCTTAACTCTGTCCTTAATGGCTGTTTTGTTTGGGGTGCCTGCAAGTGAACAGCATGGGCATGAACTGCCTGCCCCGCCACCAGCGACATCAGTGCAGAGTTCAATTGCTGAGGCTAACATTAAGACTCCTGCTTCATGCATGCACTTGCATTGTAAAAGTATGTTTTTAACACATTAAATCCTGATGTGCAGGCAAGGAGAATCTCTTACTGTTGACGCTGAAGTGGAGGAATGTGCCTGCTGGACGCAGTTTTACATAAATCAATGTTCCCTTTCTGAAGGGTAAAAAATTCACAATGTTGTCTACCGATGAACAGAACTTTTTTTTTTTTTTTGCTTCTTCTCTTGTAAGGTAGGATCACTGAATTGAGCATGCCCAGAAATTCAAGCTATGAGATTAAATCAGTATTATTCAAATGTTTCTTTAAGGACTTCCTGTGCCAAATGGAGAAATTCTTCTGCTTATAGTGCACAAGTGCTTCCGATTGATGTCACTGAAATTCTTGGCCATTTGTAAAACTTTTATTTAGTTTCCTGATACTTTGCCATTTGCAAAGACAGCTCTTGCTGATTAAAAATCCTCAGTAGCTTTAGGTTGTTGAACTAGGGGAGAAAGTGTGTGTGTAGTAGCAATTTGTAACTTCAAAGAGTACATGAGGAGAGAATTGCTTTTCATCTGATGGCATACACACACCTGCTTTTTGTGAAACACTAGCTAGAGTACTGATTCCTTTTGCCTTCCTTTGGTTGAAAGTTGACTGTTTTCTCTTACAGAGTGGGGTTGACTTGAGAACATAACCTCAGTATAAAAATCAGGCAGCCATATTACTAAAACTGGATTTGGCTTTTGTCAGGATCTCTTTCCATTTTTTTGTCTTACTCTTCATAGCTGACAGCAATATGTGTAAGACGAAGGGAGATTTTTTTCTTAGTGGCAGTTCAAACGTGGGCTGTTCTGTGATGTTATCCCTCAGTCCCTCGCTTTGAATCCTACTGCTCACATGAGCTAGATTTGATGCAAAAGGCTATCACTGTTTTCTCCCACTGGATTGTTCTTTCATCCAGGGTAGACAGCATCCTTGACTCTGACTGACTTTTACAGGAGGGAAACTGAGATTCTCTTCAATCTCTGTCAGCACTGCTTCTTGGCAAATCACTATAACTATGTGCAATTCCTGCTCTTCTTGGAACAAACCACTCCCACACTCCTGGGTGACAGCCACCCTGAGTATGACAGTCAACTTCTGCTCTGCAGTTCAGTCCACGAACAGGCACATGACAAAAATGCTAGACTAGAACTACAGCGAACGTTAAACATTAGCGAAGCAGAGCGTTTGCTACCGTGTTTCCCTTCCTGTTCAGCCTGTCCTCCATTGACCAAGAGGTTAGCTGTGTTGTTTTTCCTGGTACTTGCTTATAAATTCAGCAAAAGCCCTTCCTACAGGAGTGTCATTGTTGGCCCGTATGTCAAGTCAGGCAAAGTTGTAGTGGATCCTCTGAGGGGCCTGGCTGCAAGCAGCCGCTCACGGGAATTACAAGAATCTGCAGTTGTGCTCTGCAACCTGGGGAATCGCCGATGAAAAGCCCTTTGCTCTGATTTTCCCTGGGAAGGAAGGGAGTCTGCAGTGTTCTGGCTAACTCTTTTCCTTCCTGAATAACTTCTGTAAAACCTAATTTCTTGTGGTTCCTCTTTGTTATTCTGACAGATGACAGGATTCCCCAGAGCTTAGAAATACCACTGTTTTGTTGGTGGAGATTGCTGACGCACAGCAGCAGTTGCTTCTCTCAAATCAAAGTGTTTGTCTAGCGTTGCAGCTATGCCACTCTACAGTATTACACTAGTGAGGAAGGGCTGGTCTTAAATTCTAACTAAAACCAGATAATGTCTCTGTTAAACTCATCTTGAATGATTTTGAGAGCAGCAGGGTCTGAATGGCTGTTTCTTAAGTTCCTGTCATGAGTGATTGAGATGCTACGTCACAGATCAGATTAAAACATTTAACGGGGCATTTGTTTGGAAGTTATTTAAAACTTCTGTAGCTACTCAGTGTGATGTTAAGAGGGGCTAATGACTCAGGTAAACCTTGAAGATGCCCTTTTGATACTTAAGAGTACTCATAAACTTTCATTGGGCTACTTTCCTTTGCCCTTTTGCTTAAAACTTTGTTTCATTGTGTAGATGACTGTCATTGCTGACATGATGACTTTAAGGATTCTTTTTTTGTCTAATTGTAGTCCAAATGCGTAACAGAATGTGCACCACAGCCTGGGGAAATGGTAGGTCTTTGACGTGATTTGGGCAATAAACGGGCTTCACGTGCTAGTGAATTTTTGCATTAGAGAAATGGAAATAAAGAGGGTCTGACAAACCAGATCTGTCAACAGCCTTAGATGTAGGAAGCACGTCCCAGGACACTGTCTCGGTTTTAAAAAAAATTAGACACGCATAAAATAATCATTACTAACAGCTCTGAAATGTTTGTTAAGATGTGAAACCTTAGCAGTAAGTAATACTAGGTTCTCATTTCGATTTTTACCTTGATTTTCAGAAGGTGGCTGTAACGAAAAACAGTAAGGAACACAGACTAAAAGGAAACAAAGTGTCCTGTGCGGTGGGTTTCTCTCCAAGGCTGCTGTGACTTGTTCAGCATAACGGCATTGCATTTCAATATTTGTGCTTCTATGCAAAAAGAGATGGTCTAGCAAGCACCATTTCGTGGCTCCTCTCTGTCCTTCTCTCTCCCTCTCTAGCGTTAGCAGCATTAGGAGGAGGAGCTGGTTGCTCATGTAGTTATATCTGCTGCTTCCCCAAGAATGACTTCACATGTGTTTTGTTGGTTTCTCCTTGCTAGCTGAACCTAACACACCAGCGTGGGTGCAGCCTCGGTGCCATAGTCTTGCTTGCTGTACTACAACAGAAAGAACCAAAGCATTTTTGGTGCTTAGCAAAACAAGGAAATTTATATGGTCGAATTGTCACAATCAATTGCAGAACCAGTGCCCTGGGGTTTCCAGTCAGCATTGAGATGTGGGCCACCTCAAATGTTCATACAGTGCCTTCCTGGGCCTTTCTCACTGCTTGTTGACAGATATGTTGGGTGCAGTTTGCACCATTCTTCAGATTTACTCCAAAGTGAGGCCTTCTGGATGTGGTGCTGACTGTTAAATTACTGTGGACTTCTTTAAATTTGTGTTCCTCTGCTGTGGCCACCAAGCTTTGACTTCTGTGGTTTTAGTTTAATACTTACAAAAATGTGGGGTGGTTTTTTTAGCTGCTGTCGCACTGGCTGCTTTTGTGAATTTACTTCTTACGGGATAGCAAGAGTAGCCATTCTCTGATTCTTAAGCACCTAATATTTGCAGTGTTGTCCTGAACAGCGTATCACACACTAATGAAATATTTCAGCTCTAACTAATGGAACCTTTCATTAGCAGCCCTTGAAATGGTGTAAGCCAAACAGTTTTATGTCTTTGAAACACTGAAAACGATGGCTAATGCTCTTCCAGTCATTACCATGAAATGTGTTTATCCTAAATGCTGGGAAATGAGCCCTGTCCCCTATGCAAGCTAAATCATGAGTTCTCTTTTCTGCATGTGGAAGTCTTCGATGCCTGTCGCTCTTTCACTGTCATGTCAAGTAAATTGTTATGGAAAACTAACTACCAGTTAACATTGCCATCCCAGTATTTAACTGGGAGAAGTGTAGTTGTATGTATGTCAGTGTTCAAAGACTTAAAATGGGTATCATGTTGCATTTGTTTTTAACAGCCTGTTGCTTTGGATGCTTCAGATCTCATTTTAGAAAGATTGACTTGTAGGAAAATGCTTTGCATGGTGCTTACCTAAAATGTCTGCTAGAACAGAAGTGATAAACTTTTCCTCATGCCCTGCCTGCCTTTACTGACACGTGCAGTTCAGTAGGAATGTTCTTTATTTTCCAATTCTCAGATAAATTCAGCAAACTTCACTAGTGCTAAAGTGGGTCATGGGGGCAGAGCTGGTGGGCCTAAAACCGAAATACTGAAATCCAACGTACTGGAGGTCAGTGAACCTCTGGGTGAAGGCTTGCTCATCCCTTCAGCTCTGTGACGCTTTTCATGTGTTGGCAATAACGGAAGCCGTGAATGCCAAGAAAGCACCTGGTGGATTTACGTTAGTCCATCAGGCTGAACGTGAGCCTGGAAGGGAGGGACTTGTCGTAAAGATGGTTTGTTTACCTGAGGTGTTTCATTATGGACAGGAGAGAAAACCGTGTGATTTTGCTGTTAACCTTCTCTTTGTCTCAGTCCTCCAGCAGCGATAGCGGCAGCAGCAGCAGCAGCAGCTGTAGTAGCAGTAGCATCAACAGCCCTGACAGAGCGTGTGGTGCAGAAACCAGCCTAAACCCGATAATTGCAGGATCCAGTCCTGTCTCCTCTCAGTCCTTCCATGAGCAGTCTGCACTAAGCCAAGGTCCTTACTTCCACATCAACCAGATCCTGAAGGAGGCACACTTTCACAGCTTACAGAGCCGGGGACGCCTTCCTACATGATGAACCAGCAGTTCCCTGCCTTCTGTGAAGGGACAGCACTGTGTAGATTTGATATTTCAACATAAAAGTTTGTTAAAATGGAATTGCACAAAACGCCTGTTGCCTTTTCAGTCTATATTTGAAATAACAGGTTAACAGGAAATTGTTTACTTGTGGTTTGCTGCACTATTGCAATGCAAAAGGGGCTTTGAAGCAATTTTTATAGGATTCTTTTTGGGGTGGTTATAAAGTACCTGTCAAGAGGAGACTGAGGAATCCACATCTGTGTTATAGGATTGCAAAATGTCCAATTCCAATCAACTGCCTAATCTGTTTGTTAGCAATTTGTTGCTTTATGTAAAGTTCTCAAAACGTTCATCTTCAGTTTTATAAGTCTTTTTTAATTTCAATAAACTAGTAAAAAATTTATTTGGCAACATAATTTATTTGGGCATTTAGAGTTAGTAAGACAGTAAGGAATAGGTGCAGTCACTGAAATCCCTTAGGACTGCCCCAGTGATGAACTTTCCACCCAGCTTGGTGTGTGATGAGCCCTATCTCACTTGATCTTTACTGCTGCAGTATTGAAAACAAAATGTGAAACGAGAACCAGGAAAGCTTAGGCAGCTGTAGCTGAAATGTCAGGTGCCTGCTGGGTTCACTTAGAGAGCAGAGTCATGGTGCCTATGGAGAAAAGTACAGAGTAGCCTTGGGAGGGGCTTTATGTTGCTCCACTACCCATTTCTAGCTGTGAAATGTTTTGTTTTCTGCTACCGTGTGTAGTTGTTTCTGGTTTTTTTCTTCTTTAATTTGACTGTAAGGTTAACAACTTCTAAGGAATAGGAGGTGAAAGAGTAGCTACACCTCTGTTCCAGCAAACAGATGGCAAGGACAATCCTGACCTGGGCCTGGTTCAAGTGGCGTACTATGATCTGGACTTCTATGAAAGGACTTCTCTTCTGACAATACCAGCAGAGGTGTCACCGCTCCCTGCCAAGGGGAGAGAGCGATCTCAGTGAAGATGAATACACAGACAACTTTTTTATGTTTTATTGCATCACTTGGTCATGCCAGAAAGCCATCCCAGCTTGAAGAGAGAAGGTGCAGCTGTGTCTTCCTCCTCAGTTACAAGCTGCCTGAATAGAGCGCCAGGGCGCGATGCCTCGTCTTCTGCTCTTGTGAGTGCAGGAGCTGGAACCTGTTAGTTTTTAAAAACAAAAGTGTCAGTAACTATTACAGCATACCTTTGACTTACTCCATACCCTCATCGATAGTAGGTGCAAGGAGGCATAGACTACAGCAGAACAGCTCTTCCCAACCAACTTGAGCTTGAACCACAACCTAAGCGGTGTCACTCCTGGTGGTTAGTGACAAGCAGACAGAGGCAGTTCTGAGTGGCAGAAGCACAGCACCTTGCTGCTGTTGGCAACAGGTAACTTTTCAAATGTCATTCAACGCTCAAAAAAAAAAAAAAAATCATTCTGAACTGTAGGGAAGGGGCTGTTGCTCTGAGAGCAAGAGGATGCCAGCATAGTAGAAGTACAGCTGTTGCCCTTGCAGAGAGCTGTTCTTGAGTAACTATGGTCTTTAACCTCTCTAGAACTGTTCTAGCATAAACGAAGGAGCAAGCATCTGTCAGGGATTCTGAGAAGTGGGGCTAGCGCAGAACATACATGTGCCACCACAGCAGGCAAGGGAAGTGGTAGGAGCGAGCCAAACATCACTGCATACTTCTACGCTCTACTACAGCTGAGATGTAAGAGGTAAAGAATATCTTTACTGTGAAGTTTTGGGCTTTTAAACAGCCCTTATGCTACGTGTGGTCCTTAATGCTTCTGAGTAACGGAGAACAAGAGTTGCAGAGTAAACATTAGCATCTCAAGTAACACTCTCTGCTCTAATAAAGCCAGACCTTTACTCTTCTGTCACAGTTGAAAAGACACCACCACAGATGGATCATTGAGTTAATAATAGCTAAAGGAAACATTATTAATTACTGCTTCCTGTCACAGTGAGGTATTCCTTAGCTCTCTCAATCCTCAGCACAGAGAACTCCATCTAAGCAGATGTTTAAACTGGGGGAAACTTAGCAACATAATAGTTGTCTAGTGATAAACAGGACAACACAGAGCCTTTGCAAGAGAAGCAAGCCACTCTGTTCACACAGGCTTAAATACCCAAGCCAGGCTTCGTCAGGAGTTAAAGGTCAGCATCGCACTGGAAAGGAGTTCAAATAATTAGCTAGTATCCTTCAATGTTTCCTGCAGCTGTCTTTTAATGAATTGTCTTCTATGCATTGATCTCAAAATGCCTCACCCGTGTAAGTCTTCACTGCATTTTTGTGGTGGTTATTGCCTATGTTTTACCACAGAGCAGTGGGCCCCAAAAATACAGGGGCCACCAGGTGGGGTTTTTTTGAGGGTCAAGGGGAAATCCAAACCATCTCATGCTGTGTTGCCGTAATGGTTCTCTCATTTTACCGAAAATAAAAATCGGGTTAAATATTAACTGTTTGGCTACTTTCTTCTTTCCCTGCAAGCTCTAAGTCTTGGTGGGAGAATGAGTACTGGCAAAAAGTGAGTATGGCTCAGTTTTACCAACCTGAACTCTTTCTGTGCTCCTGGTAGCAGACTTGCTCTTTCGCGAGCTTGACATACTCAGTGGCAGAAGTCCAAATCTTAAGAGATGGAAGAAAGAAATGTGGCCGGTCACAGGGAAGCAGCAATTCTAGATCCGCTTCCCAAACAGACATGAGAATGCATGGAAGAGCTGAGCACCTTACCTGATCTGGCTGGATGCTAACGGCAAAATGTTGTGGAGCTCCTGGGAGCTCAGAGCACCACTCCTGCTCGTGTACTGGTTCTCTGTCCCGGTTAGCAAGCCGAAGAGAACCTGGAAGACACAAAGGAGCTGTTCGTATTTGGAGGCAGCTGCAGAGCTCACCACACAGTACATCGCTGGTGAGTCTACTCGCACACCAATTGTGATTGGTTTTAAGTTTGAACATGAAGTATCTCCCTTCCCCCTCTAACTCTTCCTTTTAATTGGCACTGCTCGTTATGTTACCACAGTTGAGTTCTAGGCCTGTTTCAGCACTACTTAACCCAATTAGCATTGCACAGGCTCCAGTGAATCCTGTTAGATAAAGTTCAGCCAACTCCATGCATGATTATGTGCTGTGCGGCCAGCTCGGCAAGCTCCTCTTATCTTCAGCTGGCATTAAATACTCTTCCCATTTCTAAGTAAGTGCCAGTAGTTATCTTTAGGCATTAAGCAGTTTATAAAGCCACCCCAGCTGCCCTTCAAAATGTGTTTTGCAGCCCTGCTTCCTGATCTATCCCTTCCTTCTCTTTGAACTTACGGAGGTTCGCTGAACCAGGCGATTAAGGTTGCTGTTCAAGTGTGGAGTAAAAACGTCCAAGTCAAATGGATCTATGTGTCCCTCCAAGAAGTCGGTCACCTTCTCAATCCTACAAGCAGAGCAGAGGAGTGCTGTCAGGGGTTACATCCTAGCAACAGCTGCTGATGCCAACAGTGCCGTTTCACTGGTCCCTCTGAAACGCTGAGGGAATTGCCCCTAAGAGGTGACTGAGCAAAATGGGTATTACTCAGCAGAAGAGTAGCTGCCTAAATGATTTCCAGCTATGACACAACCTACAACATCTGCTATTGCAGAGGAACCTTCTCCCTGTGGTACATCTCAGAGAGAGATGCCTCAGTTCTCAAGACTGGAGCATACACAAGGTTTTAACTCTTGGGTGGAAGCTTAACTGTTCTCTCCAGGGGTGTCCTCTGATGGTATCACTGCCACCATATGGACACATTCTGTATGCAAGCAGGGGGGGACCAGCCTGCTGTCTCCGAGCTCTCAGCCGCAGAATCCCACCCCTCCTTCTGTATTTTGAGGATGAGCTTAAATGTCAGTGAATATATCAGAGCTTAGAGTCTGCATTACCCTTCTCCTGTGAGGCCCAAAGGCACCACTCTTGCAGGCATCCTCCTGACAGCCAGTAAGGCCGTTGATTTAAACCATTTTAGAGCCCCACAAACTACTGCTGGTATCTGAACCCCAGAACTGCACCGCACCTGGAGTCATGCTTGATCCTGCTGGTTTTTGCTTCCTCGCTCTTTGCCGTCAAGATGATGCTCAGGTACCGCAGATCGTAGAGTAACTGCAGAGCTCTGTTCTGCGTCATGGGGAAGGTGCCTGCTTTCTGCAAATAGGACAGTCAGGAACAGGGCTCTTCACTCACTGAGAGGGCTGCCAAAGGACTGCTTCAGGGGAAACGTTTAAAAACACCAGCACCAAGAAACAACCAACGTACCTGAACTATTCTGAGCATGCAATCTGGTGTCTGATCCCTTTTTGCCTCATTTTTGGGGAGGCAGGGGAAGAATGTACTCACCCTTTCCAACTCCCACAGGCAGACATTTTCTATTCCAAGGGACAGGAGCGTATGCATCACCATGTGCCCAGCGACCCTCCCGTCCCATGCCAGTTGAAGCGAGGGCTACTCACGTACCTTCTCCTGCTTCTCTTCCATGAGCTTTTCATAGGCAGCAAGCACTTCTGCCATGCAGGTCCTCAGCAGCTCCTGCAAGGTGACTTTTGGAAGAGTGTGACCGCCGACCCGGTTCACCTCTTGGCACAGGCTGAAAAGGAGGCACTGGACATACCAGGACGGCTGTTTAAGAAAACAGTGTTATTTTCATGTGGTCTGTAAGCTACATTAGTTTTATCAGCGGCACATCATCACTTCAGTTCTCATGATGTGAGCTTCCTAATTCCTCAGCAACTACAAAGCTCTGCTGCTGAGACCTACCTGCCCCCATAGCATGGCTCAAGTATCTCACAAGTTTTTATTTACTGACACACCAGACTTCTGATTATAGCAGTCCTCAAAGTCTCAAAAGTACTTTTACCAGAGGTATTCGCCTGAGTGTAGTCAGAACAGAATTGCTTGTTGTGCCTCTTCTGTTCACCACTGACCCTGCTCTGACCACCCACTACCTGCGCTTGTTATTTTACTCCCTCGCTCTTCTCCTGGGCCTCCCAGCTATCCTGAGCTCTCATCTGGCTGCTTCTTCCTTCAGAATCAGTAAAATTCACCTTGTAAGGTTCACTACAAATGACTATTGCCCTGTCCAGCCCCTCCCGTACTGTGCAAACACAAAACTCGCTCTTGCCCTGGCCCTCCTCTCCCTCCATGCGATCACCACCTGCTTTGTCACCGTGTCATTCCTGCACCACCACCACCACACCTATGGAAAGCTGCAAGCCATGGTTCTCTTAGGCTCTGCAAGTCTCACTGTCGCAGCCCTGTCCTTCAGTGCATCCAGTTTCCATAAAATCTCTCTCCTGGGGGCCTCTGTGTATAAACCAGGCATAAGTCCCTTCTTTGACTCAGTTTTACAGGATCTGGGCCAATGTTGTTCATTTGAATATACACCAGCAACTATCTAATTTCCTTCCTCTGACCTCTGTCCTTAAGAGGTGAGTATCTCAAAGAGCAAATGAGGACACCAGAGAGCGCTTGCCCTCTGCTCATAACTTCAAGCAAACTCCATAGCAGATCAGCACCATTTGACAAAGCAGCGGTTTTGGAAACCAGTGCTCTTCTCCTCCCAGCAGACCATTTCTCTGTGTTTACTGAGAGGACATTTCTACCTGCACAGGCAGCCGGATCTTTGACGTTACGCTGTTTCCAGACTCTGTC